CATGCTCTGTTAAAGAATTTCTTAGCTCTCTATGTTTATATTGAGGAAATCCACATTTCTGGAGGAAACAAGTTGGACTATTTTTAAGTAATTGTTTTTACCTGATGTATGCAAAGTGATTTTGTACCATTAAAATTTTTGCAATCAAGTGGATTTTGTTTTAGTGATTTAATATCTGAGGACCTCGGCTATTTTCTCTCTTAAATGCTAACAGAGCCGAGGTCCTCAGATATTAAATCACTAAAACAATATCCACTTGATTGCAAAATTTTTAATGGTACAAAATCACTTTGCATACAAAATCTAACTAAACAAGGATTAGTTAGATTAAAAACAAAAGAAGTAAGGTATGTGGAAGAGGAGAAAGGTCTAGCTGACTGCCTCAATTAATATTTTTGTTCAGTATTTACAGATGAAAATTATGAATAGGGGCCTCAGTTAGGAAAAAGGACAAATGAGTCATTTGTTACATGGGAGTTTACAGAGGAAAAAGTTCTATTTCAACTGTCAAAAGTAAAGACAAATAAGTCAATGGGACCTGATGGAATACACTGAAAGTTATTAAAAGAGCTTAGTGGTGTACTAGCAAAACCATTAACAGATTTATTTAACCAATCATTGTTATCAAGTTATCAAACGTTGTGCCCATTTACAAGAAAGGTGGTAGGGAGGAGTCGGGCAACTGTAGGCCAGTAAGCCTTACTTCAGTAGTGGGGAAAGTAATGGAAACCATGTTAAAGGATCAGATTGTTGAACATCTAAAAACACATGGATTTCAAGGTCAGAGACAACATGGGTTTACTTCAGGGAGATTATGCCAAACTAATCTTGTTGATTTTTGATTGGGTAACTAAAATAATAGATCAGGGTGGTGCAGTAGACATTGCTTACCTAGATTTCAGTAAGGCTTTTGACACTGTTGCACATAGGCGGCTTATCAATAAACTGCAATCTTTAAGTTTGGATTCCAATATTGTTGGATGGGTAAGGCAGTGGCTGAGTGACAGGCAACAGAGGGTTGTAGTCAATGGAGTATATTTGAAGCATGGGCTTGTCACCAGTGGGTACCTCAGGGATCTGTACTTGGACCCATTCTCTTTAATGATTTTATTAGTGATATTGCAGAAGGTCTTGATGGTAAGGTATGTCTTTTTGCTGATGATACTAAGGTATGTAACAGGGTTGATGTTCCAGGAGGGATAAGCCAAATGGCAAATGATTTAGGTAAACTAGAAAAATGGTCAGAGTTGTGGCGACTGACATTTAATGTGGATAAGTGCAAGATAATGCATCTTGGATGTAAAAACCAAGGGCAGAATACAGAATATTTGATAGAGTCCTAACCTTAACATCTGAAGAAAGGGATTTAGGGGTGATTATTTCTGATGACTTAAAGGTAGGCAGATAATGTAATAGAGCAGCAGGAAATGCTAGCAGAATGCATGGTTGCATAGGGAGAGGTATTAGCAGTAGAAAGAGGGAAGTGCTCATGCCATTGTACAGAACACAGGTGAGACCTCACTTGGAGTATTGTACACAGTACTATATATCTCCAGAAGGATATTGATACTTTAGAGAAAGTTCAGAGAAGGACTACTAAACTGGTTCATGGATTGCAGGATAACACTTACAAGGAAAGATTAAAGGAACTTAACATGTATGGCTTTGAGGAAAGACAAGACAGGGGGTATATGAGATAAACATTTAAATACATAAAGAAAATCAACACAGTAAAGGAGGAGACTATATTTAAAAGAAGAAAAACTACCACAACAAGAGGACATAGTCTTAGATTAGAGGGGCAAAGGTTTAAAAATAATATCTGGAAGTATTACTTTACTGAAAGTGCAGTGGATGCATGGAATAGGCTTCCAACTGAAGTGGTAGAGGTTAACACAGTAAAGCAGCTTAAGCATGCGTGGGATATGCATAAGGCTATCCTAACTATAAGATAATGCCAGGGACTAATGAAGGTATTTTTTAAAAATTGGGCAGACTCGATGGGCCGAATGGTTCTTATCTGCCGTCACATTCTATGTTTCTGATTAAATTAGGCAAATAAAGTGTTTGACCCCAGCTACATCAGGGGAGACATCCCAAGGCACCAAACTTTGCTACAGTGTGTAATTTTATAGAGCATATTAAATTTTATATAACTGTGCTTCACCATATGGTGTTATTTTTTATCCTTTTTATCGATTTTATAGATTAACTGAATCAATAATATTTCGACCATTTTGCTGTTTAAGAAGAGTGGTAAACTGGAAAATAAATCACATGGGAAGCTTCATCATTCAAAGTTAAGTACCACTATATGTGGGAATATTAATCCATTGTGAAGGTTAATGTTTAGTGTAACGGATCACCTGGCACCCGGACTGGGTACCTCCGTTGATGGATGCTCCTAGTGCTTCCCAAGAGCTTCACCGCAGACCCCACAAACCGCCGCAGCTTGGTTGGGGTCTCACCGTCTCCTACACACCCTGGACCTATGACAAGGCTCCTGGTTCCAGTGAGTAAACCTCTCTTTCTTTAGAGAGCGAAGCAGGAACAAGCTCTTACAAGAGCTTAGTGATTATTCAAGGGAGTATGCAGAGCATAGCAATCCCTTGTAGCAGATTCCCCCAATAAGAGAGAGGACTCTAAATTGAGGGTGAAGTAGATCTATTTTAATGAGCACACAGGACTTTCTTATATACACATTTTCCCACAAGGTTACCACGTACGTGGACCTTGTGGTACACAGGACACAAAGTATCAACAGCCAATCAACACACTACAGTACAGTCAGACACTCCCAGCTAAGGCACACAAACCCTCCCTTCTGCCTGTGATACAATTACTGAACACAATGGGCTAACTTAATTATCACAGGCAGAAAATATACAGTTTTTACCCAAAACACAGAAACACCCCAAAACAGCAACATATCCCCTTCATCCCTGGATAGCCCTGATCTGTGTGAACAACATATCCAAAAATCACCCAGATCAGAGCAGGGGTTAAAAAGTTTTATGGAAGTCATATTTGACCAACCGCAAGCATGGCTTTCATGCCCAAAACAGTTCCACAGATTTAGGCTGTGCAGCCGGTCTATCTTCTCCTCTATCCTGGAGATAATTGGCTTAAGTGGCTGTGGTAAGCCAATTATCTCTAAGTCCAAAAAATGTTACAAAAACTACATACAAATACATAACTCATATAATACAATGTTTAACCTATATGTCCAACATATCCCCATATAGCTTGGATCTGAGCACTCAATATGTCCGAAAAGCACTCAGATCCCATGAATACAGTTGAATCGCCATGGGGTTAAACAATAGCAAGGGCTGATGAGAGATTGATGAGGGACAAAGCAGCCAGTTTCAACTGGTCTGGCAGTGTTCTTGGGACAACGCCCTGCTGGAGAACAATAGCACAGGAAAATGGGGGGGGGGAGAGGCACACTTTCCCATGGAATCAAAGGGGTAGAAAAAGTGTTGCCATAGTGGCCATAGTCGCCATAGTCACAGGGCAGGAGGCTGGCAAGCAGGCTGCTCCAAAAACTCATGGCAAACTCCCTTAAAACAGGTTTGTCACATTTAGTTTTCCATTTTAGTTTCACAGAAACCCACATTTTTAAGCTAAGATTGTCTTTTCAAAGTAGACTTGGAGGTTTGTGACATTTCATCATAGGTTAAATCCTGTTTTAAATTAAATTAAAGATTATTGACTTCCACCTATTTTCTTTTTAAGGAATTTTCTCCCACACCTGCATTGAAAATATATGTTCATGAAACTGCATTTAATCTAATTTCTTGGCAATTTGCATTAACTATTGTTTGTAAATTTATGTTTCTTTTCACATTATTTCAAATTACTTTTATCGAACAATTTTTAGAAAACATATTAATAATAATATAAAAGAGAAATATAAAACAATATTAACCCCTTAGTGACCAGACCATTTTTACATTTTCTTACCATTAAGGACCAGGGCTGTTTTACAATTCTGCAGTGTTTGTGTTTAGCTGAAATTTTATTGCAAGACAGGAGGCTTCATATTTGCTTTACCTTCTTTACTGAAAAACTCCAACAGCAAAGAAATAGTTAACATAACTTTTCAAAACAAGCAATCAGAACAAAATAACAGCAGTATAAAACCACTTAGGCAAACACTCCCACTTCCTCATTCTTTGCTTCTGCATCAAGGTGAGCACACACAAACTCAGAGAGTGTTTCTGCTCTGGGTTGTTATTTCATCATTATATTTACATGCTGTGTTTTGATAGCTACTGTGTCCGTGTTTTTTTTTTTTTGCTGAGCTGACTGTGGGGTGTGTGCCCTGCTCCCTGACTGGGGTTTTGGGTTTTTCCTGTCTCTATTCCTTCCCCTCCTGGGGCTTCCCCTGGGTCTTTCCCCCAGCCGGCCCTCGCTCTGTGTGCTCCCACGGCTCCCTCCTTGGCTCTGTTGCTTCCATCCTGATCCTGGACTTGATCGCGGCACAGTCGCGCATCTCCATGGCTCCACGGAGTAGGCTATGCTCGATTTAGCTCATCCTGCTGCCCTGCTGTCTGCTGGCCATGTGGCCAGCCTTTCCCTTTCCCTCTGTCTCCCCTATATTGTTACAGTGTGTACAGTATCACCTGTACATACACTACATAGATCTTGGATGCACAGTGGGCTGTCCTATACCTGCATCTATTAAACTGTCATACCATTCTACTCCTTAAGTGGGCTAACTGGCACCCCACAAAGGCCTATTGTTCCATGGGGTGACCCCCTCTCTGCAGTACTGGGGCACTGAACCTGCTTATACTGCCCTCTACTGGGCCATACTGCTGTGCAAGTGGCACTATTGTGGGTTCGGTGACCCCCTCCCTCTGACTAGCTTGGTGGGCCACCTGGGTCCTGTGACTCTTATGCTGATATGCTAGTGTTTGTTGGGTGACACCCTCTTGCACGCTGGGTGACCCAAAGCTGGCCATATCTGACTGAATGTACCTTACCTCTGTTTCAGTGCCAATTGTCATGTCTGACGAACCATGCTTCCATGCCCCTGAGGGCTTACAGACTTGGCTGTGTGCCACCTTGGTGGATTCCTTACCTAAGGCCCTCGCTGCCCTCCATGGGGACGCTCCACCCACCCCACCGGGATCTATGCCCGGATCCTCTGGCGCACTGGACTCTGACTCAGGTGGCTCCCAACACTCTGCATATATGGGCTCGGTGCACAAGAGGCCTTGGAAGGACAACAGTGCTCCCACAGACAAAGGAAAGATGCTTGCCAATTTGGCAAGATTGGTACCCGGATCAGGCGGTCGCTTGGATGAGGACGCATTCTCTGGAGCACCAGGCTACGACATACTGGATGAAGATTGTTCCTGCTCGGGTTCCACATCAACCGGCGAAGGTGTTCCTGACCATCGTTCATGGTATGTGCAGGACATGATGTTGGACTCTCCTCTGGCCAGCTCGCAAGAAGCCCCTGCTGCTCCTGCTGTTGACTCCAGCAAGATCTTAGACCCCTCGTGTGGTGTATCACCAAATTAATATATATATATTACACAAGGTTCGTCTACATTAAAAGGTATTTATTAAAAGGCAACAACACAATACTATAAATGTATCACAAACACACAGCCCAGACCCACAGAGCAACAACCCTTTTTAAATCTATCTATCTATATAGTAACCCCTTCCCCACACGCTTGATCTCACCCACGGTTAGGCCTTCACATCTAGTAATGGCTCACTGCTGCAAGTTCAACATCACATCCACCAAGGAAGAAAAGGAAGCAACAGAGAGTAACATGGCTCACCATGCTAGCACATGGCATCTGCACATCTGCTCTGCAGCACAGCCAAGAAGGAACAGAGAGGAATGGAGAAAGGGGGAAGTGGTTCTCTCTCTCCTGACTTGTAAAGGTATTGTATTACACAATTACCATTTCAAAGGGTAAAGCTTATCCCATTGTAGCTTGGTCACATGACCCCTGGTCACCATATTAGTTTGATGACAGAATGTTACCACATTCCCTCACTTTTTCTTCTCTTATGTTGAGCACATTTAAAAATAATAATATATCCCTCTTATCTATCTAAACTATGAGATCTGAAGTATGAAAGGGGAGCACAGGAATTATAGTGAGTGATATAAGCAAGGTGAAAGAAAAGTCAAATAGGGGTTGCATCACCCCACATTCCCCCACTTTTTCTTATTCTATGTTGCTCCATTATCTAGTTATCCCTCTAGTACAAGAGAACCTAGTGGGAGCAAAAACCTGATATACAGGAGAAATTCAACCCACCGTCCCTCCGGAATAGTTCCCTCAGCGACATAAGTTCTCCTGTACTTTCCTATGGCTGTCAATTCACATATTATACAAAGTGTCACAAAAAAACAGAACTTATAGAATTTAGGTGAGAGTGTGCAATGTAAAACTTTATTGAAGAATGTATGAGAGAGCGAGAAAGAGAGAGAGAGAGAAACAAAAAAGAAACAAACAAACAAAAAAAAATCCCCCTTTTCAAGTTTCTTCCTCATCTATTTCATTGCCACACAAAAGTATACTAGCGGCAAAGTTTGTAGGACTGGATGTGATATTTGCAGAATTCCATACTCTCAATCCAGTTCCGACTCCTCCCAGTAGAGCTGTAAATTGTCCCATTTTTCCTGACACCCTGCTTTGCCTAAAACACTGTCGCCGTTGTTCCGGACACCTTGGAGGAATAGAAGGATTATTAAAATATAGACTGTAAACTTCTCCCTTATTTGGAGTATCTTCTGGCCGTATTGCCTGTCTCCCATCCCTACTGTGATACAGAGTATACTTATCCATCCTGTAACAAGGATCCACTACGATCTTCTGTTGACACACATCATCATCCTAATACAGCTTTGCCTTGCTCCGTGGGAACACTAGATCTCATCATTAGAAAGGAATAGCTAAATGGGAGACTGGAAGACTGAGAGAAAGAACAAAACAAAAGAAAAACAAACATACATACGGATGTAGAGAGCAACACAAAATTATGTGTGTTATTGATTGCTGGGACCCCCCAATTGGTCAATCTTTTCCTCCTCTCTCAACTGTCCCCTCAGCGCTTTCACGTCTGCCTCCAATCTTTCAGTCTGTCTCTTTAGGTCCCAGTAGTCTCTATTCCCTTCTTTATTCCTCCAATTATCCCAATTCCGTCTATTGGTCTGACGCTCATCCCATCTATGGTTCCTTCTCCAATTATTCTCCCAATAACTGTTCCTGTTGTTTCTCTGTTTTTCTCCCCAATTGTGATTTTCCCAGTTAATATCTGTCCTTTTTAGCCTCTCCCAGGTATTTTTATTATTCCAATTATTATTGATTACCTTAGGCCCCTCCCATCTATTCCTCCAATTATCTCCCATTACATTCCTATGGTCCCTCTGTGGATCTCTCCATCTTTTGTCAAAGTCCTGTTTTGGTCTCCAGTTCTCATTATCCCTCTTGTTCTGGGGTACACCCCACCTCTGGCTTCTCCATTTACCATCTATATCTCTACCAGAGTCGACCTTGAATGTTCTTATGGCTGAGACAGAGAAGGCCTGTTCTGAGGAAGGATGCTTGATCCACCAATTGTCAGCTCTAGTTAGTACCATTTCTAAGTCTGCTGGTGTTGGATCAAAAAGCCTCACAAATTCTTGACACTCCCAGGGAAGGGCTTCCATTACTTTAGTAATATGTTGTGGTGAGCCCAAGACCAGAGGCTGTTGAGGTTGGCGTAGCGTATACCAGAACAATATCCTTTGAGCTACCTCTCTAGGACCATCTGCTGGCCTCATCATAATATTAACTATTTCTTTCTCTATGCTGAGTAGATAGAAAATCGTTGCAGCAATTCTTCCTGCCTGGTCAGACACACTGTTATTAAATCCAAATAGTCTGCTAGCCAAAGGACCCATGCATATTCTAACAGTTCTGTCCATTCTTCTAAGTTAAAACCTCCTTTTTTTGCTCTATTTTCTCCCCTCATAAACCAATGTGTAAAGGTGTTAACGTCGTCAGTTGGCATACTTCCCCACCATTTCTGGAAATGTTCTTTGTCTGTGATTGACATAGTCCTTGTCTGTCTAGAGAAGCTAGTAGGAATTTCTCTTACATTAAAATGTTCCGTTATTATTATAGGAGCTTGTGGGACACAATTAACAATTGGCACATTTCCCTTGTGTTTTGTTCCCAGCACTGGTTCTTTACTTTCAGATATAAAATAAGACTGGTCTGGGCATACTCTAGGAATCTCTGTATCCCATTTATTTGTGTTTTCTTTAATTTTCATTTTATATTCCATGACTAGGTCTTGGACTTCAGTGATCTTAGCACTATATGCATCTCTCTGTTGTTCTATTTCTCTTAACTCCTTTTCTAGTTCCCCAACAATTGTAGTTGTTCTCAAAGCTGCAATTTTTAAACAATCCATTTTGTCCATTGCTTCCTCCATTTTATTTGTTGTTTCCAAATTATGCTGCCGTAATTCTACAACTATGTCTATTAGGCCTCCTATTGTGGCTACAACAGCTTGTGTGACCAAACTTTTTCTTTTCTTTGTTCTATACTTTTTGTTATTTACAATTTGTGTTAGAACATCCATTAATCTCTTCTCTTTTTCACTGTCTGGGTTTGCTGGCTCTGGAAGCTCATATGGACCATCATGTTTTTGAATATGTTTCCTAAAGTACTCACGCACTTCTGTGGAAAAGTATTTGGCCCCTTGAAAAGACATTCCTACTCTTTTAGTCACCCAAGTAAGAATCCAAATCAATTTGCGACTAAAGTAGCACGCTTCTGAGTAGCCAACAATAGTTGATGACTATTCAGTAGGTCAGGTGTAATATGTAGAAAAATAGACTAGTACCCACAATGCAAATTATACTTACCTTAGTATGGTGAAGGTAATACTTGCTAATTAACTTCAACACCAGTAGTGCCTATTAAAATATAATAGCAAGGCCTGCAGGGTAGGAGATATACCTGAACTAGGATATGCAAGACACCCAAAAAGTATAAGGTATGGAAGCCTATAGTGTATTCAAATGCAAGCCTGAAATAATATGTATATATATATATAGATATATATATATATTAAAAAAAAATAAAAAATGATTTATTAGTACGATATTAAAATAAAATTAAAATGAAGGCCTGAAAAACTACTAGGCCTGAACTATGGTAGTCAAAACACAAGAAACTCAGGTATTTGAAACACACATAAAAAACTAATATATTCAAAATTGAGGCCTGATGCCCAAGTTTGTATATTAAAATGGAGGTCTGCACTAGGATACAAAGGAATCAAATTAGCATTCAAATACAAAAAGAAGCCGCATGGAAGCCTACTATAGTGTATTCAAATGCAGGGCTAGGCCTGTACTCTGATAGTCAAAGCACAACAAAACTCAACTCAGATATTTGAAACACACAAATATATTCAAAATTGAGGCCTGATGCCCAAGCTTGTATATTAAAATGGAGGCCCAAACTAGACTCCACACACAATCAGCCCTTGATTTCCCATGCAGAGGATAATTAAACAAAGTACTTTTTTTTTTTTTTTCCAAAAAAGAAATCTGACTATTACTGTGTTATTACCTCATAAATAACCTTTGTAGAAGTCTAAAATTCGTGGTCGCCAAATATGGTGTATCACCAAATTAATATATATATATTACACAAGTTTCGTCTACATTAAAAGGTATTTATTAAAAGGCAACAACACAATACTATAAATGTATCACAAACACACAGCCCAGACCCACGGAGCAACAACCCTTTTTAAATCTATCTATCTATATAGTAACCCCTTCCCCACACGCTTGGGTTCATCATCAATGTAGAGAAGTCAGAACTGACCCCATTTCAGTGGATCTAGTTTCTTGGTTGTGTGGTGGATTCGGTTCAGGCACTGCTATGCCTTCCGGTATCCAAGGTGGCTGCCATGAGGAAGAACATCAGATACCAACTCCGCAATCCGAGGGCCATGTTAAGGGATCTGGCCCAGACGATAGGTCTGCTATCTTCCTCCATTCAAGCCGTCTTCACTGAACCCCTGCATTACCGGGCTCGCCAATGCCTGAAGGCTCGCTACTTTCACTCATCCTCCTTCTACGACCAAATTGTGCTGCTCTTGGATGAGGCAGGTCTGGAACTCTATTGGTGGCCTCGACACATGGAGGCCTGGAACAGCAAGGCGATATTCGGATCAAGGCCAGACTTCGTCCTGGAATTGGACGCCAGTTGCCTAGGCTGGGCTGCTACTTGCGATGGCGTGGCAACAGGAGGGCTCTGGACCCCGGAGGAGAAGGTTCTTTACATCAACTCTCTGCAGCTGATTGCAGGGTCTTTTGCCATTCGCAGTTTCACCAAAGGAAAGAGTCACTGCTCATTGCTTCTTCGCACAACGACAACGTCTCACCTGTCCGTTACATAAACCAGCTGGGAGGTTCCCATTCCAAACTTCTGTTGTATCTCAAGAAGTACTGTCTGGACAGGAAGTTTTAGTTCATGGCAGAATATCTGCTGAGACAAGACAATCTTGTGGCGGACTGGTTTTCCCAACACTGGCAAATTGTCAGACAGACTTGTTCTTCAACTGACTTCCGGATCCCCTCAGTGTGGCACTGGACGCATTCCTCCAAGAGTGGCCCCCATGTGGGGCATATGCGTTTCCCTCCTTCTCCATGATTTTCCAGACGTTACATTGGATCAAGTTTCTGAGGGTGTCGCTTGTCCTGATCATGCCACTTTGGAGGAGCCAAACGTGGTTCCCTCTACTGCTGGAGTTTTCGTGCAAAGACCCGCTACTGCTACCTGTCTCCAATTTTCTCCTGCGGGATCCAGCAGGCAATCCACATCCGTTCATATTGGAGGATCATCTGTCCCTAGTGGCCTGGACCATTTCCGTGGTTCATGAGATGTGTCAGGCCTGTCGACAACGGCTAGAGAGTTACTCTGGGAATTTAGGGTGCCTGGCACCAGACGATCATATCTGCACGCTTGGCGGTCCTGGAATGGCTGGTTTCTGGAGAGACGTTTGGATCCCTTTACGGCCCCTACCATGGCTGTCCTGAACTTCTTGGCTAAATTGTTTTCTCAGGGTAAGTCGTATAGGACTACTAATGTTTTCCGATCGGCTATCTCGGCGGCTCATGTACCTTCTCAAGGCTCTGGTGTTGGTAGTGACCCTCAATCTGCAGACTGCTCCAAGGTGTGCTCCTTTCGAGATGGCCTGCTTCTCGCTATTCCTCATTTTGGGATGTCTCGCTTGTTTTGTGTTTCCTTGAGGAATGGTCTGATAATAGTGACTTGTCTCTGCACCAGCTTTCTGCTAAGCTGGCTCTGCTTTTATGTCTTGTGTCCTTTCGTTGCATTTCGGATGTCTGTGCCTTTTACAAAGAATCTTTTTTACCAGACGTGTGTCTGTTTCTATCTCATGCAGGACGAAATCTAATTTGTCTTCTGTGTCGTATCCCTACTTTCCAGATAGACCACGTCTCTGTGTGGCCCGTTGTCTACAGGCGTATATCTCAGTGACTTTGTTATTTCAGCCTTCTGCCCATGGGCAGCTATTGATTTCCTACATTCGACCATTTGGGTCTGTTTCTGCACCTACGATCACTCGTTAGATTCAATGGCTTCTTTCTTCGGCTGGCGTGGCGAGTTCCTTTGGGGAGCATTTGGTTCAAGGGGCTGCATCTTCAGTAGCTCTAGAAACCAGTGGGTCCCTTACGGATATTCTCGGTGCTGTTGATTGGTCTAGGGAATCGACTTTCCGTATTCTTCGTAATGTATGGTCCCATGTTTTATTAACAAATACATTTTCTGTACTACAGTTTTGGTTGTCCGTGTGCATTTATTTATCATGTCGTATTCCATTGATGTACTAATTGTGTATGGTGAGACATATTTCTTTGGCAGTTTATGTTCACAATGTTTCTTTTTTCTTACAGTGTAATCTGAAGTTGATCTGGATATGGCGGTTTCTCATCTGAGTGTGCCTGCTACAGTTGGATTTGTTTGGTGCTCGACCTCACCAAAGAAAGAGGAAGTGGTTTTATAGTGCTGTTATTTTGCTCTGATTGGTTGTTTTGAAAAGTTATGTTAACTATTTCTTTGCTGTTGGAGGTTTTCAGTAAAGAAGGTAAAGCAAATATTTGCCTCCTGTCTTTAATAAAATTTAGATTATTCCCTGAACACAAATATTAGTGTTTGAAAACAGTAAAACGTATCACAACAATGATATCATCAATGAAAGTGTGTGAAAAATGCAAAAAAAAGTCACTTTCACTGACAATATCATCGCTGGGATATGTTTTACTGTTTTGAAACACTAATATGTGTGTTCAGCGAAGTCTCCCGAGTAAAACAGTACCCCCCATGTACATGTTTGAGGGTGTCTTGGAAAGTTACAGGGTTAATATAGTGCTAGCAAATTAAATTGTCTGGACTTTCGCCCTGGGCAACACCTTCTGATCTATAAGTATAACTACAACATAGTCGTTATTCAAAGATGCTCTAGCTTTTTGGGGGTTTTCTCACCTAAAGACTGTTTTTCGGCACTGTGATACATTTTCTGTCATTTCACTGCTCCAATTATTTATATATTGGTTCTAATTTTGTATTGTGTGTTGGGGTACAAGACAGAAGTGTGTTAGCAGTAGTTGTGGAAATTATTGAACGTGGAACATATCAACTCTAAAAACATAAGCTATCTAGCAACCATAGCATTATATAAATTTGAGTGCTCCAAAATTAAATAACACCCCCAATGTATATTTCATGTCAGTATGCACTTAAGACACATTATTACCAAAGAAAAAGTATATATTTAAACAAAGACAAAAAGAAGACGTGAAAATACCCTAAACAGGGAAACCTTTAACTTAACTCTCATGTTGCATGTTCTCAACTCTCCAAAATACGTTTCTGCTTTCATCTGCCAACCCAGAGATGTAAGTCTGAAATACCAGTAAGATCTTTCTACATGTGAGATAGACCAACTGCAAATTATGATTTAGGCCTTCATTGTGTCTTGTCAGTGAGGTGTAGCAGATATGCCTATAGCCACAATGAGTACAGAGTCACATCTGCATTTCCCCTTTTTAGGGAAATCATAAGCAGGTGTGCATATGTGCTAACAACTGGAGATCCAGATAGAGACTCTGCTAACTGAACTAATGCTTGTGACTCGGCTCTCCAGCTGCTGCTCATGAATGTGCTGCCCATCTCTAATATCGATATATTCTTTTAAACAAAATCTATCACATATGATATAACGGAATTTTAGTTAAACTGTTACCAGATGTTAGGGTATGGAGATTTACTTCTGACACATGTGCATAAATCAAACTGCTAGCAAAATGGTATTGCAGAACAATTTTTGATGATTTTGATATTTTATTTATATTTGTTCCAATCAACATCAGATCCCGCCAGCTATACAGCAATATTTGAGTTAAATATGTTGGACAATATGTTGTTCACCTTATCCACTCTAGATTTATTTCTGAGTATTCCCTGATTTTGTTTTTATGCTGATATGCATTTACATTAAGTTACAGTATTAAGATTGAGTCTGCAAGCGAAGCAGTAACAGTGATCATTGAATATTTATTTTTCCAAAACAATTGCTTATTATTACTTACACATATCTATTTTTTAATATGTATTAAATAATTCACTAATTTATTAATGGTTTCAATATATATTCTACATATGGCCCTAATTTTGCTGTTTACAGACTGGCAAAGATTCTGTGCATGCATAATGAATTAACCCCTTATAAAGTATATCAAAAACCAAACAGATCCCCATGTGATATATTTCTTCTTAACACTCTTAACAGTGAGATGTCATTTGCATGCTATACATTACTTCACTCTTGATATCACATCAATCTCATGTGGTGACACAAAGGTACTTAATGTAAGATCAAAACGTTTAAATCAATTCATGGCTTCATGAAGAAAGGGCATTTATTAAATCAATTCATGGCTTCATGAAGAAAAGGCATTTAAAATATAGGATTGAGTACACATGGGATGTTATAAATATTTATTAGTATACTGGATTACCACCTTTGTACATCACAATTTGCATAAATTCTCAAATTACATCCTGTGTACAATCACAAAAAACATGACATGAATTTTTACATAAAATGAAAACTAAACAGATTTACAGGCATATTTCTATACATTTCATACTGTTCATCTAGTTTTTACAACTTTTTAAAACAAAATTTTTAATAGGATTTGGAAGTCAAAATTAAAAAAAAATATATTTAAATAAAAATTGTCCAATAAAATGGATAGACCTCTCTAAATGCATGCAACATTCAGTGTGTGAAAACATTTAATTTCTTTAAAGACAAATACAGAATGTACAGCATTGTATTATTTTACTTCTTTTTAAATTTTTTGTAATTTTTTTTTTCGGCATATGTCTCTCAAACATCAGGCTTGCTGTACAGATTCTCAATGGATGACAACAAACACGTTATTCAGCCATTGCTGGTTTACCATCTGAGCACATCACTGTAACAACTATACAGATACAACTGAACTGTATGTGCACATTCACATGCTGAATGCCTGATGGAATTATAACTCTTAAATTATTACCTAATACAAATATGTATATTTATTTACATGATAACAAAATAAAGGAACTTGCTTATTTTCATTTATTAATAACCAGAGAATGACTCCTTGAATTCTGAAACTTTTATATAATTTTAGAGGGTATATTAATTTGCTCACCAGTGACATGTGCACCACACTACAGAGCATGTTGTTGGTCCTTTTAATGGTGACCAAATTAATAAATTACAGGAATAAATGTAACTAATTAATTTTCTGTGGCCAAGTTTTCCTAAATTTTTTATTTATTTATTTTAAAGGAAATTTTTCTGCAAACTAATGCACAAGCAAACTCCTGCACTAATTAAGATGTATTTAAGAATGCAATTAGAAATACCCACAATTTTACTAATTAAAACTGTTAATGATGTTAAAATAACATCAGGCACTAATAACTTTAAATATACTTCATAGTTAAATTGTGCAGGATTAAATCACAATTTTTTTCAGTTTTCAGACTGTGCATTAAATAAAATTGTGTTGGCTGTTTTTTTCATGAAATTTTGTTCTATGTGCTTAACTAAAATTACTTATTAAACATTACTAACATTTGTTAAGTATATTTAGAGATTACTAATAGATTGGACACAACTATGACCATTTTCTCACATTTAGCATCCAAGAATTAAGATTTCCAAGGCATCTTAATATGATGTTATTTTGTGTTATATATAATATAAATCCCATTAATGTAGAAATGCTCACACTGTGCTTTTATATCAACATGTAAATTTGATGATTTATTTCAACTCCATCAATTAATCTAAGTTGTCAAGAAATGAATCTTTGATTTCCCTTGCATATAAATAAAAACATTATTATTATTTTATTAAACCGGCCATCCATATATATATATAAAATAATAACAATTAAAGACTAATAAATAACAAACATTTCCATCTATGTTATCACTTCTAGTAGAAGCAAACAAATAAACACTATAAATGTGTTCAAATATATGTGCAAAAAAAAATACTGATACGTGATATCTTACACAAAAGTTTTTTTCTCTTTTTTTTATTTTACATTTTTTTGTTTGTTTTTTTCTCGCTCACAGAAAAAAAAATCATTGATACATCAATGTTGCATAGATGCTTCCTAACTTGAGAATTTGGTCTAACACAAAGTTGGCACATTTTGGAAGGATATTATAATAGCTAAAATTAAATAATGCACCAAAATGTTATCAGTCACTCTGTACTAATACAGATGAATGACACATTTGTATAATTTAAATTGATAACAAATTGCTTTTACAATATTTGCTTTGTTTATAATATTCCAATTAAAAGAAAAAAATCGTCAAAGATGCTCGTAATTCATACAAGCAATTTCTAAAATAGCAGAACAGAAATGTATTTTCGTGATCTGTTTGTTATAAAGATTAATGCTACTCTATCAGTGGAATGTATTGTGGGAAAAAGGCAGAGTAATATTAGCTCTGCTAATTTAGCATTGATTACAGGCTTCACAGCAAGAATCCTTATTTGTGCTATCAATGTGCATTGCAATTTCCATAGCAACGATAGGCATGCTTTGCAGTCTTTTACAGTAAATCTTACCATGAAAAAAATACATTTTAGAAAATTGCACATCTTTTAGCTTTTCAAAGCCACCAAATATAATTTTGAACACACTTCTGAGAAAATTAAATACATACAATTATTTCCACTTATATAGCAATCTCACCTGACATTTAGTATTCTTTCCTTCTCTAGAATTCACTTAATGTCTTTCAGAGTACTTGATATGTATGTACATCAATATTAATTATAATATGTATAGGTAATTATCCATTTTCAACCTATCAATACTCGCAGTCATTCACCTGAGTTATGTAGACAAATGCAGAACACTCGGTTCAATGCACTGCACTAATCTTCAAATGTCTGTTTCCTGCAAAATGGCATGAGTGACAGGCACAGCTAGCTATTTACTTTCCAACATTAGTTCTAGTTTTTAATCTACATTGTAGAGAGAACATTGTCCAAATGATAGCATGTGTTAAAATATAGAGTTACGTTATTTTTAAATTATTTATATAACTATCCAAGGCAGTAAGTCAGAAAAGAGAACCTATATGTTTGAAGGGAGCCTAATCTTCCAACACGCAGCAGTTTAATGATATGCACAGGTTTTAGATTACGCAATCATAATGACTGACGCAAGAGTGAGGCACTGTATAATTACTGTGCAAGTAAGTGATAAACTACACCTGAAAATTAAATATATTTAATACTTCTTTTACCTAAATAACCATTAACTATTCTAAGCATTGCTATGACCATAAGATTTTTTTAAAGTTTAATTTATATTATAATCTCTGTGCAAAAATAATGATGTGTAAAAATCCAGAGTGCAAATGAGACATAAACTTCTGTAACCTATTTTTAATGCTTCAGTGTTTTTTTTTTCCACTAAACAATGCTATCTTTGTTTTGCAATGCCTTTCACAGCTGTTGCAACTTCTAGAGCAAAACTCTAAACAATTCAACACAAT